GTATTCTACTGCACTATCGCTTAAGAAGGCCATCACAGGGGACAGAAGATTCGAAGGAAGCTATGCAGTGTCGCAACGCTATTTTTGTCGCAAGGCTCAGGTGGGTCACGGCGGCATCGAACTTCCATCAATACTGTGATAAAGAGCCAATAAAAAAACAGAATTGTATCGCAAGATAAGAGCAGAGCAGAGGAGCTGAATGATCTCACAACTTAGGCAGCCTTACGCACTAACAACGACCGCTGTTGCAGCAGTGGTTTACAAGACTAAATCACATCATGTCGCTCCAAAAGATACGTTGGTACGCTGGTAGAGTTAAAATAGCGAAACTGCGGAACCAAATTTATGAAAATTTTGAAATTTCTGAAATTTTACGCGCCCTAACGCAATCACCCACACATGCGGTGTCGAGGTTAATAATGCGCAAAGACTGGGAAAAAAACAGAGGTGTTCATAAGGGCGGCTCCACGGATCTAGTGAACTGGATGCATAAATTTTTGTCCTGGGTCGTCCTTGAGACGAACTGTGATCTCTTCATAGGGCCTCACAGGACGGTGACACCGTCTGCACAAGTGCAATCATAAACGAATGGCCAGTATGGGGGTCGAACCCATGACATTCGCGTTATTAGCACGACGCTCTAACCAACTGAGCTAACCGGCCAGCGATTGGCGCCTATGGCTGCCTAAGTTGTGAGCGCCTTGGGGCTTTCCTGCTCGGTACAGTTACATGTGGTATGATCATTTCAAAATGTTTTTGCGGCACCAATTCATTTGGGCGACCTAAACTAGTCAGTCAGAACGTCTGTTACTCTAGGTTCTTTGTCATTTTAGCTAACTGCAAAGCAAAACCGGGACTTATCGTTCGTTGACATGCATTTAAAAATGAATACCACCAAAGGGCAGATACGAAACGTGCCGCGCTGTATTGAGTTCGATGGGACTTTTGACTCCACCGCTGGCGCTGCATGCAAATATTGGGGCCGTTTACTGGTGCTGGCTCCTTAGTTACTTTGCACTTGCGTGCTTCGTTGACGCTTCTTTCCAGCGGTGGCTGTCGTAGCGATACCATGTCCGTCATGGTTATCGTAAAGCAGGGCATTGTACCGTAAAACAGAGCATCGTACCGTCCAACCGGACATTGTATAGAAAACAGGACATTGTATTGTAGTATGTAACGGAGCGTGCGTGGGTTTTATGTTGAAATGACCGGTAACAATTAGCTAGCAATGTTAGAAAGGCTCGCATACCAGCGTAATTAAGCTACACATGAGAAAAAAAACACGGTGATGGTACTGGCCAAGAGAAGAAATCAACGGTATCCAGCTGCAAGGTTTCGTTTCTGTAAAATATTGTAGCATGATTTACAGGCACACCTGTGCGTAAATTTAGGTCGCCCAACACTTCTCCACATCCCTAATTACGCTTACGTTACGTTTCATCACCCTCCCTCTCCATGCGTAAAGTAATTTACGGGTTGTCCATAAGGTTATTCCTGAAATAAGACACGCAGGGCGTCAGTGTTTTACAAGACCAAACCGGGTCAAGTCGTTCCAAAAGTTGTCTGATCCATTTTACTGCTTGTTTCAACATCATAAGCCCATACATGCACTGTGCCACGATACAATGCAATGCCCTGTTTTAAATACAATGTTCGGTGTTATGATACGATGCCCTCATTTTTTTCAAGGTATCGCCATCGCCATAAGGCCAACGCTGGAAAGAAGCGTCAACGAACCAGCTAAACGCGAAAAATCACCAACAAGCCGGTACTGGTAAACGGCTCCTATATCTGAACGCGGCGACAGCAGTGAAGTCAAAAGACCCATCACACCCAATAGAGCACAGTATGTAGACGTATCCGCCCTTGCGATGGTAGCCATTCCCAGACGCATATCAGCGAACCTTGAGCCGCGATTCTGTTTTACAATAAGGTAAAACGACAAAGACACGCAAGTGGCAAACGCCCTGAGTGGCCCATTTAGCCTGCTCACACAGCAAAAAAATGCTACGAAGACCTGTTTGAATAAAAACACAAAATGTAATTGTATCGCCAAATAAGAACAGACCAGAGGAGCCCCAAGCAGCTGACAAATCAGGCAGTCTTTTGCGCATAAGCGGGCCGGTTAGCTCAGTTGGTTACAGCGTCTTGCTAATAACGCGAATGTCATGGGTCCAACCCCCATACTGGCCATTCGTTTATGATAGCATTTGTTCAGTCACGGCCTCGCCGCCCTGACGTATTACTGTCATCTCTACAGTGCACAGTGGACAAGCATGCCCCAATGGAGGCACTCGTAATTCGGCCCTTTTGGAACGGGATGCCCTGCTTTAGAATAAAAAGGCCCTCTGCTGGATTGGGAAAGCCCCTGTACTGAACAGAAGGTTCCGCTCTGGATTTTTTTTGTAATCCTACTTCACGTGGATAACTACAGATCTGTATATATTTATATTTATATATATATATATATATGTGTGTGTGTGTGTATATGTATATGTATATATATATATATATATATATATATATATATATATATATATATATACATTCATGAGTGATAATTTGATACGGAGCAGGTGCCGTCGGTGCCTTCCCCCCCCCCCCCCAACACCGCTGACCCAGCTGTTTCTGCCCTTTCTTTTCACATAGACACCCATGTGTGGGTTATTGCATTAGGGCGCGACCATAAATTTCGTTACGCAGTTTCGGTACTTGAAGTCTGTTCATGGTACGCACAGGCTACGATGGTCAGCTCTCCCCCTTTCTTTGGTTTTGCTTATTTGAGCGCAACAACAGTAAGGTCCGTTTGAACCTTAATTGAGCTAGAAATGCGAAACAAATAAGGCGATGTTCCTCGTCATGAGAGGAAGCCCATGGCATCCCGCTGCAAGTGACAATTGCAACAAAACATTTTAGTATGATTTGCAGTCACACCTGGACTTAAATCTATGCCATACAGACCTTCTCTGTCCCCTTATTACGCTGACGTTACTTTCCACATTCTTCCCTCCCCGTGCCTAGCGTAATTCATGTTTAATCCTCATGTACTTCCTGAAAAGAAGGGACGCATTCGACTAGGTTTACTGCAATGAGGTAAAATGACAAAGACGGGTGACTGACGGATAAGCTCTGACTGGCCAGTTTTGGCTGTCTAACTGAATAAATGCTGTGACCAGCTGTTTTAATTAATAATAGAAAATATAATTGTTTCCAAAGATAACAGCATAGCGCAAAGGCCAAAGGCTCTCACAACTTAGGCAGCATCAAATGTGTGGCGTCGGCCGGTTAGCTCAGTTGGTTAGAGCGTCGTGCTAATAACGCGAATGTCATGGGTTCGACCCCCATACTGGCCATTCGTTTATTATAGCTTTGTTTGGGCACACATCACTGCACTGACGTACTACTGCCATCTCCGCAGTCCGCAGTGGACAAGCATGCCCCAATAGAGGCATCCATAAGTGGCACTTCTTGGAAATGGATAACATGCTTTAGAATAACGAGGTCCTCTGCTGGATATAGAATACCCCTACATTGAACTCCGGATTTAAAAAAAGACATCAATTTTTAATCGCGTGGACATCTATATGAACATATTGACAAGTGACGATTTAACACGGAGCAGGCGCCCTTGGTGTCCCCGTCCCGTCCCGTCCCGTCCCGTCCCGTCCCGTCCCGTCCCGTCCCGTCGTTCGAGGCCCCGCGAGGACGCTCCAATTAGTCTGCCGGAAGACATCTGCAAAAATGTCTTCGTTCTTCAAATCCGTGCGCCGCCCTTATCCAAGCCCCTGCTTTTTCAGTACCTTCTCTTCACCTAGACACCGATGTGTGGATCACTGCATTAGGGCGCGTCAATAATCAGATGTGTTTAAATGATCATAAAACATATAACTGTGCAGAACAGAAGAATCCCAAGGCGCACACAAGTAAGGGAGCCTAATACGCGACCGCCGGCCGGTTAGCTCAGTTGGTCAGAGCGAAGTTCGACCCCCATACTGGCCACTCATTTTCCACCAGTGAGTCACTAGAGTGCAGGCATCGAACGGCAATTATTTCTACCATAGCAAGTTGTGTTGTCTGCGCGACAAACTGCGCAAATTACATAACACTGATCGAATGACTTTGATTTAGGGAAGCCCTAACCGCCACTGGTGTGTACTATGTCGCGCCAGCACCTTATCCGGTTTTTGGAAGTGGAATCCAAAACCTTATCCGGTTTACAGGTGGCTTCGTGTTCGCAGTGCTAGCTAAGCTAAGCTAAGCTGAGCACATCCAGCCAGCGGGCGGCGGTGCTCAGGCCCGCCGACCGGGAGAGAGGCGGAGCACGGCACACGGCACGGCATCGGCTTGCTGAGCTAAGCAAAGCCTGTTGCGTGTTGCCTGTTGCACGCTGTGTTGCGTATTGCGCGTCGTGTGCTGTGTGTACCATGAGCCCACCGCCCAAGCCGTACGCCTTTCCACAGCTGGAACTGTGGAGTGTTTTGCGTGTCGTGCGTTTTGCGTGTTTTGCGTGTCGGACTACGGTGCGGCCCGGGCCCGGGCCGACCCCGGTTGGTCAGTCATCAGCTGACCTCTCCACATCAGCCGAACCATACAAAGCGTCCGTTCTGGGACTGGTAGCCCGTACTGCTGGACAAAGGGTCCAGCATCGTTCCCCAGAACAGGTTAGGGTCCATGCAGGGACCAGGAGGTCCCCGGTGCTACAAACCAAGTATGAGTCAAGTGCCCTTCCCGCCATCTACACGTTACAAGCATTCCAGGCCCCCTGATCACAGACGCATGCAACCAAGCGCGCGCGACCCATCTGTGCCGGCGTTGTTGAGACCCATCTGAAGCCCGGCGTTCTGCACCGCCGAACCGCGGCCCGCAGCCGACCCTCCGCTGACACCCTCCCCTCACCGCTGCGTCTCGTTGACCAGGTCGGCGGCGAACACCCAGTGACGGCCGAGCAGGCGCTGCCAGCGGGCGGCGGCGCTCAGGCCGGCCGGCCGGGAGAGGGGGCGGGGTACGGCGCCCTCCGGCCGCTGGCCGAGGGAGCCGACCTCGTCCAGCGATAGCGGGCGCAGCAGCGAGGCGACCGCCTCGCGGATCAGGCCGTCCCGAAGCGCCACCTGCTGCCGCCGCCGCCCCACTAGCGCTGATACCGCCTGTGGAGCCGCCGGTCAGGTCAGAGGAGAAGGAGACAGGGCGTGTGGACGGGCAGGGCTGGTCGCAGGCCGAGCGATGTGTGGTGAGATGATGCAGAGCTGGGCTCTGCTACATGGCTATGCATGACAGTGCACAACTGTCAGTTGGGAGAAGTACACACAAGCACTGCATGTTGGAACACAGACTCTTCACAGATAATTTTCATCATGAAATGACTGGCTACATTTACAAATGCAAAATGACTGGGTAACCTATAAAGTACAACCTTTTGTTTGCTTCAGAGCACAGCCGATTGCCAAATGGTATTTAAACAAAATAATACTGCCTATCCACACAGTTCATTTCATACTAATGGATTAAACAAAATATTGTTCATTAATGCATATGTAAACACTAGATCTAACGGAGGAAAGAGTAATGCCAACATCAGATATCTACATGCAATAGAGATATACAGCTACTGATTTACAAGCCACCCATATCTAACTCACATAGGAATGACAAATACATCATACATTTAAGTGTGGTATGGATGTAGCCTTAGCTAATCACATAAGGAACATTTCAAAAGACCTGAATTTTCTCAGCCAGTCCAGCAAGACCAATTGAAGAAGCCTCATCTTGTTCCCCTTCACTCATCCTTGAGCATGAGACACCAAGAACCTGCAAAAGGAAGGCTACTAATACAGTGTTATTTATCGTGAACTCATTTAAAGTTACAATGTTCTGATACATGTCCCATATCCCAATGCAGGGTTTGGGCCTACCAAAACCCATCTTTGAGTCTGCCCTGTAGAAGAAAGTAGGCTGTAACCTTCACATCTCACTTTTTGCTAGATACTTTCTTCTGACAACAAAACGATTTTGCACAATTTTGGTATTTATGTTCACCTGATGGGGGTGAGTCAATAAACTAGATAACACTATGATTAACAACAAAAAATAACAGCAGTAAATTTCCAGCAAACATGAAATGTCAGGTTCCAAGACACAAGAACTACTTTTAGCTATCAGTTCTCTGCCTGTTCTAGGAAAAATATGCTAGATGATGATTTTGCTGTTCCGAAATATCAAAATACACCAAATACTGCAGGGTACAACTGGGGACAACTATGATAAAGCCAGGTAGTATTCAAATCACCTGAGGTCAGATGGTCCCAGTTACCAAAATGTTAGATGTCAGAACACAGTGTTGATCCACATGACATGTAATACTTAGCATCCAAATCAACTGCAGGCAAATTTACAATGGAATCAAAAGATGTGCAGCAGGCACTCTGATGTCTGTATTGGGAGCACTGACAGCATTGACTATGGAGATGGTTACAGCTTCTCCATCATAGTCAGTGTCATGACTGTCTTCAATGCATCCACTGACACCAAGGGAGCAGGAAACAGTTGTTATGGCTTCAAAGGGCATGCAAAAATGTACATATATGGGCATAAAACATTCAAAGTGTCACTCATTGACACTATCCACAAATGACAATGGCTACTGATAGCATGCTATCAGAGACTTCTAAAAAGATGAGCTAGAGTGCAACAAGCTTTCATTTTTTGACAGAATATACTGTTCACAAATTTTCAAGAATCACAGGCAGTTCATTATAACTTAGAGCAAACAACCTACTGTCTACATTGGCAGACTGCAGCACTAACACTGGAGAGTAATACAATATATTGCATAGCATATGCACCAGTGAAAAGGCTGCCTGCAGCTGCCACATAGCCAGGTATAAGGCACTTAGTTCATAAGAGGCACTTAGCTTGTAAAGTTCAATAAATACCTAGCAGTTACACTCAGCCACTTAATAGGAGTTTTGAACAGTCTAATTCAACTAAAAACAGAACAAAACCCACAGTCCAAATGGCAGAAAAACCTTAACTGAACATATATTATCTAGCAGAGCAGATGACCTGATAAGCATACATGAGTTTGAGAGCACCTACAACATCCAGCACAAGGTTGCTGCTAATTCCAGCACGAATAGTTAACACCTCAAAGTTGATGACATCATTGCCACCAAAACCTCTCACAAAAAGAATTATTTATCAATTCAGCTCCAATTCAGCCCAACCTGAGGCTGACATGTACATGACTCAGCACACCACCATGGTGCTAGCGTCCATGCAATATGGATATTTTTTGCACAATAGCCTAAGGGTTTTCATCAAACTGAAAATAAAGCTCGTTAAAGCACCAATTGCGTTGGGTGAATTTGAGTATCGTGACAAGCAAAGGCAACAGGACTCTGCCCAAATTTACACAAAGCAGCACACAACAGGTTGTAAATATGAAACGAAGAGCCAATAACAAATATGAAACAACTAACCTTATGCCCTATACCTACACCCCAATTTGTGAGAAGAGTGACAACGACTTTCCACCAATCAACGTCGCTTATGCACCTATCTCACCCACGGAACAGCGCGCAAGGGCGTTGAGACCGGAATAGCGCTGTGAACGGTGCAATCAACGCGCCGCATTACGCCGCATCTCGTCGCCAGTATTCGTCAATAAACCCGCGGCCAACGCTGCCATATCGTTCCAAATGTATTAGCCAGGTTCTTTTTATTTTTCCTTCACGTCTCCCTTGCTCACGGGCTCCATGCCCCCCGCTAAGGCCCTGGATGTTTAGAAATTAGATGGTGTATCGTAAAATTCGTCTCCATGATTTTTTTCGGCATCTGCCAAGCAGTGCCACTTAACTCTAGAGAGTCATATCAAACGGCCAGTTATACTTATAGGGGTTCCTGTCAAGGCAGCTTATCGGTCTCTATGCGTCCCCGTTCAACGTGACGCTCAAATCTTCAGCCCCCCCCCCCCCCCGATGGTTTGAAGACGACCTTTGCAGAAGCGGCCCCTGTGTATCTATGGGCTCCTGAAGGCCCTCCCTTAGGGGTCACTTTCAATTCCAGGAGCATCCATAACTCCCTTCAACCTCTAGATGTCCTGTCAGGGATTTCCTTGGGCTTCGATGTCTTCTTTCAAAAGGACCCTCCCCGGACGAGCCCCGTGACGATAGCCCCGATAAGCCCCGTGACGAAGCACTCCTTGGTCTTTCTGGAGCCTACTGCAAAATGGCGCTCAGTCTATAGCAACTGTCATTTTTGGAACCCTTGGGGCTCCAGTGGGAAGTTCTTAGAACTTCAAGACCCACGAAAGGAATCGTTTTCAAAAAAGATCATTGGTTGAAAGGTACCTCGGGCCTCCCAGCCGACTACGAATACCTGGTTTATCCAACAGACCTTTGGATATTCACGTGGGCCCCGACGACAGCTGGTTAAGCGGTCTCTGGACGTCCAAAGCACTTATGAAGACGAATCCTCATCGAAGGCACTTTTTGAGCCTCAAAAGAACCTCAATGAACATTTACCAAGAATTCATCGGTTACATTGCCAATTATCCCTGCATGAAATTCAGAGGCCTCAAAAGATGCTCAGGACCAATTTATGCACAGGTCCTTTTCTGGAAGGCAAGAGCGACAGGAGACTATTCCAAAGCCCGTAAAATCTAAAGCCACCATATGCCGTTTTGACGAATTTCGGCTACGTTAATGCTCCTTGAAAAACCTTTCTACCACCAATAAAATGTCGGGGTTAAAATCACATTTTCAAAAATATCCACATATCTTAACGACTGTGTTTGACATCAATCGTGAAAGTCATCGTTTCTACTGGAATTGAGAATAGTGGACGTATCTTGGCTTCAACATGCAACTCATATCGCTGATTTCGGGACCGTTGTAACTACAGACTGAACTTGAATTGGAAACAGCTTTTGGGGTTTTTGTTTGTTTGTTTATTTGCTTATTTTTCAGGTGTCTGTGGCTGGACCGGACCGTTAACGAATTTAGACAATTCAGTGGGACACATAAGGAAAGCAAACTACCTTGAAAGGGTGCTTGCACTTGTTTTGAAAGATTCAAAACGGTCGGAAATCTCCGAGAACAGACGCTTGCCCCTATTTTCGAGCACTGCATTGCTGGTGAAGTATGATTCCATGCTGAAGCGATCCAGAACAATGCCCTGCACGTTTGTCAACATTCCATGGAATCTCACTGCATGTATACTGATCTAATTGGGAGAAGCTGTCCAGTGTAAAATTTTGAAATGTTTTCTGCAATATTTGAACATGATTGCACAGGTAATTATCCGGGCTACCATGGCCATCTGGGCATGCATGTTCATAGCCTGATATTTGTGTCGCCAGACGCAAGAGCGGGGTAACATTGACTCCTCGTTGCGGGGCGAAAGGACCCTCCAAGACGTTTGTTGACATGAGCTTTAGCAGACACCTCACTGGCACCAACCAGTAGTTTTTTTTATTAACTTCACCTGTTATTAGGTGGACAGGAACATCCTTCAGTGCCCGTATCACCCGGGTAATGAAATATACCGAAAACGAGCAAAACAAAAAAGAAGAAGACATGCAGAAGTGGCATGACTGGCAAGTAAAATAGGTGGGCTGGCGCTTCAGTTTTGAAAGCAAAGGATTCCTTCCTGATTCACCCAAAATTTGGTGGTTTCTAGAGTCGGCTCCGACTTTGCGCAAAATAAAACGCATATTCTCAAGAAATAGCAAGCATTTCGGTGAAGTCAGGAGGAAGCTGGCGTCACAAAACTATAGTTGCATCTAGTCTCTGCTTATGCTGGCCGCAATGCTGTATAATAAAAGGAAAATACGTTGATTCGTCGAAGATAGAAGCCAGAAAAACGTGGATGGTAGACAACGCAAACCTGCTACTTCTTGAATCAGCGTGGAAGAACAAGGTTTCTGTAACGCTGGTCCAGATCCTTCCACTCTGCGTAGACCAGTTCAAGCAAACCTTCCCCACGGGATTAGCATTAGCAAGCGTCATTAGCTTTAATTAACATAGCGGCGTCACGTCTTCCATTTTTGATAACCCTTGGCAGTATTGGTCCGCAATCTTTATCATTGAATAGAGTAGGAATTAGGCTAAAGTGACTTTCAAGGCAAATCTAAGTGGAGGTGGGCGTGCTGATTTATGCATGGAACTTGCGTTCAGAGCTGCCCATTTCCGGACCGATATCTTATATTATGACCATACATATATATATATATATATATATTGTTGTGCCCGTGATAAGTTGCCTTCTAACCTGCCAACGTGATCATCGTCCTGGTGACACAGTGGCGTAGAGCGCCTGCGTTGTGAGCGTGTACGCATTTCGTGTTGGGTTAAAATCTCAACGGCGGCTGCCTCTCTTTTGTAAGGGGACCTTTTATTTTCGCGTCTGTTCCCGAAGCTACGTGGTCACGTGATCCGGCCAATCACGAGCCGGGGAGTAGGTCACGCCTGGGGTCGGGGTCGGCGGTGGGTCAGTGGTGGTCCGGGCGGCGCCGGAGAAGGAAAGCCAGCTCTCGTTGATATCCACGGCGTAGCTGGCTCCTCTCCCTCCGTTCCCTTTGACTCCGACTCCGGCTCTTCTACCCTCCGCTGTAGTTGATATACACGACGTCAACGTGTCCTTGTCGACATTGTGAATAACAATGTTGACACATCTTTAGTGACCGTTGCTGTTACCGACGACTGCTACCTCCCCCGGGGATTATAGCCGCCGTGCACTCGTATCAAACATGGTCTAAGCGATGTAGGAAGTCAGGATGACTTCATGCTTACATGCTCCTGTGATTAATATACCCCATTTTGGTTAATCGCTTTTGGTCTACAAGAGATTAAATCGAGCCCGCCCAACATCACAATATATATATATATATATATATATATATATATATATATATATATATATATATATATATGGCGGTATGCACTTGTAATGCCTGGGCCGAGATAGTAGAATCCATTGGACTATCTGTGCTAATGAGATGAGACTCTGCCAGTTGCGAAGAATCTGATTTCACAGTCATAATAGGTATGAATGTCTTTTGTTGTGAGTAAAACGGCCTGCAGCTCCTACCTTTGCCATTATCAGATTTACTGCTGCAGATAACGTACCTTCAATATGGCAGGAGCTGCTGGTTAAACCACGTTAGCAAGCAAGCATTTGGCATCCAAGCATTGTTAACAACGCCCCTATAAACAACTGTTTAAGCTATTATATTATAAGCCATTATAAGCAACACCTCTAAGCGTCGAGTTTCCTTATCACGTTTACTTATGCTTCCTTGATAACATCATTAAATCATGGCTTTCTGGAAGATCTATTATTTGCAATAAAGAGACAAAGATGAATGCCTAGAAACAAGTTAGATTATTTGCGACTCTGAAAGCAAATACAACACTGCCAAGTCCTTGTTCACCGTATAAAACAGCTAATTACACGAAAGTCGTCGGGTGTCTCAGCTGGCAGTTACTCAAAACAAAATACAGCCGGCAAAAAACATTGTTGATTGGATCAGATTTGCTCGGATTTGGAAGAACTGTGTTGTGGAAAAGGCGTCTATCGAATGCCGCGAAATTTTAGCGATCTTTCAACTTATTGCCTGCTATCTATTAAACTATAACAGATTTAAGCCACAACTTCGCATATGTAATACATATGAATTGTTTGCGCAATTTCGTCTTGTGTTGACAACAGTCATGTTCATGTTAAGTCACACAACGGTTCGTTCTAGCATTTTTCAAAAAAATCAACTTGAAAAAGGTAAGTTTTCAAATTTTGCATGGAAACCATATCTTAACTTAACAAGGCTAATTTTGGCACTCTACCGCCGCCTCCCGTCCACGCAAGGGTTGGAAGAACCATTCTTGTTTCTGTTTTAAGTGTCCCTCATGCCGCCCGGGGCCCTCTTTTGATCAGCTCCCAGCGCCTGGAGCAAAGTCTGACCACACGTCTGGGCATGACGAAAATGTAGAAATCTTTTCTCCATTTGCTCTGTGATATTACGGTTATGTTGTAAATGTTCCTGTTATTGGAAATCGGCTTTAGACTAAGCTGTACGATGATTAACCTTTTAATGTCCCTTGGGTGATTAACCTTTTAATGTCCCACCCAAGCAAGCCGCAGACTCTCACACCAAAAAGGCACAAATGGTTGTCCTTGAAATTGTTCAGGCCAAGGTCACCTTATCCCACGTTTTTAGATATCTCGAGGCATGCGTATTAGCACTAGAACCATATAAGCGGCGTCTAGTTACCTAAACCATCCATGTACGACAGCAAACTGTTTCACAGAAATCCATGTAAAGTAATCTTCAAATAATGCACGCAATTCATTTGTCCTTTTGATTTTGCGTTTTGCTTTTACTCTGTGTACTTTGTTGATACATTGGCCGTTGTCGTGATGTCCTTCTTGGTTGTCCTAAAGGTCCCGTGTTGGCATTATACTCATATTTAGTGTGGCCATTCTAGTTGGTATGGAAGACGCCAGAGCACCAGAATGCAACACGCCAAATCGCACGTTCTTATTACATCAGTAATATGCCTGTCTTTTTCTCGCGCCTTTATTATGCAAATGTAA